ACTTTTGATAACTATCAGGACATTATAAAGATTTCGCTTGTGAAATTTCACAGTTTTCTGATGCATAAAAGTATTTTTAATCTTGAAATTAATATTACTTTGCATGGTAGGTAGGCAGCATGCAAAAAGAAATAAAAGACATGAGAAAAACATTACTTTATAAACCTTAAGACTTAATAAAAAAATTGATATTTCGTGTATGAAAGCATTGTAATGTTTACTGATAATCTGCTAAATTTTGTTAACAATCACTTACTAATTTAAAAGTTATAGAATAAAAACTATAACAAGAACAAAATGGTTACAAGGTCGGTCCTAGGGACCGAGCCCATGTTGAAAGACGCATGCTGAGAGTTACGGTGAATATTTGTCTCTGAGTCAGGCAGTGCATTTATTTTCAACCAGTTAGTGAGGAAATTGTGCAAATAAGTATATTTGTGAGTAAGCCATATATTAGTTTTGGAATTTTTGTTGAAATATTTTTTGTTAAATTAGGCCTACCAGTGATCACAGCCTGTAGCAAACTTTGAAGTAAAATAATTCAATATCATTAATGTGTCTAGGGGTTAGGGCACTCAACTAGCAATTTGCTAGTTGTAGGAATGAACTCCATCACCATTCATGATTGCCCTTTCAGCTGTGGAAGCACTGTAATACGACAATCAATCCCACTATTCATTTGTAGAATAGCTCAAAATTTGGCAGTGGGTGGTGGTAACTAGTTGCCTTCCCTCTAATCTATCCCTTCAAATTTAGGGATAGCTCTTTAGTTTTGTACAAAATTCAACAAGCAAACAAATTATCCAAAAGCACTTACCCAACAACAGAACACATTACAACAATATACATTTTTCTTAAACTGATCTTCTTTGTGATGTTTTGTGTAATGCCAGATGCCAAACTACCTCTAACACGTCTTAAACTCTCTAAATAACTAGTTTGTAACTTCATTCAACTTACCATTTACAGCTACAACAGTAACCATTGTTAAAGCAAAGAATCCCAGCTGCCCTATAAAAAAAAGTTCAACTGAAATAACTAGAGAAATGAAATAAAATAAATAATACAGTACAATAATTTTGGATGATATAATAAACTTCATTAATTCATTTCCATCGGTTTGAAAATGTCACAATTTGCTAGTATATTAGAGATCCATTTTTAAATCATCATAAACTAATAGTTATTGCTAGCTATCACTAGATAATTGGACATTTCTCATATTATCTTGCATTTATGTAAGACTAGGTAAACAAAAAAAATAGGATACACACTAGACTATTAAAATATTTGCAATTATGAGCCTCTGCTTTACAAAAATATGCTATAATTCTGTAAAAAATGGAGCATACATTAAATAATGTAATATTGGTCTCATCTACTTCCAATTTTTAATTTTTTAAATCATGGTTTGCATACACTTACTAGGCTTATCATCTCAAACATGCAAGAAGTTGGCCATATAATATTTGCACAACAATTACTTGCTGGTCAGTGATGGCTTTACAACATTAAAGTGAATCAAGGCAAATAAAGTTAAAAGTAAATATAAAAAAACTTGACAAAAATGGCAGTATTCACTAGAGATGCTGAAAAAAAAGGTGAAATTAATGTTAATACTGCTATAGGAAATATAAATCCTCTTCTGGCATGCACAAACTTGTGTGAAAAAGCCCACTAAATTTCTGCTGTAAATATTGTAACATATATGCATCACCTAATAGGACAAGTTATTTTCTTTTTATCCTACTAAAATTTAAGACAAACTTAACACTGTGATTTATGGTTTATCTCTGTATAAGGGCTTGGTCATTTTGATTGACCTTGTAACCATGAAACAAAACGTTTTATAACCCTAAACGTACAAAGTGTGTCTTCATGAAATTTGGCAAGCTTTTTGTAAACGTTACAAGTATGTTGTACAAAACAAATAAGATTTTTAATAAAGTATTTTTACTGAAGGTGTATCTGTGAATTTCCAAAGCCTTTACCAAGTAAATCTGAGTGAAAGGTGGTTTTCATGCTGAGAATAAAAATACTTCTTTTCATATTACATTTTTCATATTTCATTTGCATAACTCCTAGGACCTCCTAAACAATTATCAAAAGTTTTTTTCAGTAAAACTTTATACTTTAATCTTTTATTTTCTTTACCCTAATAATAACTGTAGCAAATTCATCAAATACAAAATTGAAAAATATGAAATAAAATCCATAATACCTATTTTTTGGATTATTTTTATAGAATGACTGTAGATTTTAATAGACAATTACAATTATTTATCCTAACAGCCTCAGCCACCTAACGTGTTTGTAAAGTAATAAAATTAAGATCAATGTTCATCAGACCCTATATCACAGTATGTGAAAGGCAGCTAACCAAAGCAAAAGAACTTGGCATAAAACAATCGTTCAGGTTACATAAGGAGATGGAGTAGTTCATACTGAACATGAAATTTTTTATATTTAACTTTTTTAAATTTCATTTTCTTTGCTATCTCATCTAATAAGTTTCTATCTTTTATATTTTGGTTACTTTTGTTGAAAAATAACAATAAATATAAAATATACATGAAAAGCAAGACGTTTTGGACATATACAAGAGTTGAAGCCAATTTCAAAAACTTGTACTTGAGAATGTATTTCCTTAGCATATTAATTCATATTGCGTGTGTTCTCCACAAAGTGTTCCTTTCAAACATCCATTTTTTAACACATATATCAAACACTAGAACAGAATGTCCCAAAACTAATACAATCTAATTGGCTTTCTAGCTAAGCTACAAATAGATTTAAAAAATTATGTTAGCTGCTCGGAGCAGAAAAACGCAATCACAAACAATGAAGACAAAGCTAAACGTCTTCTTATGGGCAGCAAAATGAAGTGACTATATAAGAAATATTGTAAAAAGCTGCTGCTCTTTAAACTGGTTATAAATAATCTAACAGCAAAGACAGAGAGAATAATTGCCATTTTCTTGAAAAATAGTGACATTAGAGGGAAAATGTCGTGCGAGTTTGACATTTTATATATATATACACCTTAGCGAAGCAAGAAGATTATAGGTTCTAAATTTATATTCTGGATTGTCAGTATTTACGAGTTTTTAATTAGTTGGCTAATCAGAATATTATATAAGGATAGCAAAAATCTCTAAAATTGGCAGTTCAGAGTGCAGACACATCATGTGACAGAGAGAAGTAAACACTGAGAATTTATTTTTAAAATTTCCCTTTGAAAGTTAAACTTAGATAATACAAAACTTTGGTACTAAGCTTATTGACATACATTGATGATAAAGTTATTTAAATAAATTTTGAATGTAACTCTGCAATAAAAGGTTGTGATATGCACACTTTGATTCTCCTCATATACATAGAGATAACTTTATCGGTTAAATAAGATTTGTAAAACAGATCGCCACATAGTATGCTACAGATTGTACTTTGATACTTTGGGAGGTTTATGAAGTACAAAGTCATATCCAATTCTCAACATGTATTATAATTTCAGATGATTTTCTTGTTATTAATGAAAAGTGAATGAAACACTTACTTTCTTTAATATTCAAGATCATTACAGTTTCTCATTTTCTAACTAAATGGGACCAATGAGTTGTGTACGTTTGTGTGTGTTTGCACAGAATCAAGGATCTTGAAATTTTACACTTTTAGATTTTGTATCAAGCAACGATAACAGTGCAGTGTTAATAAAAGCTCCTAGTTAAAACTGATGATATTTTTTCTCTTCTTTTAGTCCTAACACGACAAACTGTGGACAAGCTAATCTGCCTTAAGACACAGTTGACATTTCAGAGAGAGAGATTGTTTGTTTTGAATTTCATGCAAATCTACATGAGGGCTATTTGCGCTAGCCATCCCTAATTTAGCAGTGTAAGACTGGAGGGAAGGCAGCTAGTCATCACCACCTACTGCCAACTCTTGGACTACTCTTTTACCAACAAATAGTGAGATTGACCATCACATTATAATGCCCCTATGGCTGAAAGCATGAGCAGGTTTGATGGGACGGGGATTAGAACCCGTGACCCGCAGATTGCAAGTTGAGCTCCCTAACCACCTGGCCATGCCGAGCCTAACAAAGAGATATAATGCTTACTTTCTTACTTTAGAGCAAAGCCACATTGGGCTATCTGCTATGTCCAACACAGGGAATAAAACCCTGGATTTTAGCATTGTAAGTCCATAGACGTACCACTGTTCCACTGGGGAACCAGAGAGAGATAAAACACATACTACAGTCCACTTTTAGTAACTTGTCCACAAGTAATTTTCAGTGAAGTTTTAAGATTATCATTTCTTAACATAATAAAACAATGTTTTCTTAAGTTATAAAAAGTAAATCTTAAAAATAAAACAATATTTTTACAATTATAAAAAAATGATTCCCTAGATAAGAAAAAACTACTTGATAATGTAATATTAGTGATGTACAATATGACATATCTTTTTTCTTACATACATCCATCTGTGTTGACTTTTGTCAAGGCAACTGTTATTATGAAAATTATGACCATTGCAACCAAAGAACAGCCATTCCGTAGCTCTTGGGGTAGTCTAACGAAAAACAAAACACAGCAATCCTTCTATCAGAACAGCAAAGTTAAAATAATCAAAAGAATTTGTCACAATTTTACTGTCCTTTTCCCACTATCAACAAGGTGAAGCTCATCTAATCAATGTAATCAAAATGTTACATTAAGCTCTAAAAATAAATCCTAGCAAATTTACTTTAACTGGTTTAAGGAAACAAACTAATAATACAAAGTATAAGAAGAAAATACTTCATTGTTAGCATTTCTTCTTTAGTAACATCTTCATAAAATCATTGCGAGCTAAGTCTAAAAACTTGCATTATAACTAATTTCATATTTTTCTTGTAATTACTGAAAGACATGTTATTTAAATATTAAAACAAACTGATGTAAACACTTCATTAACGCTTCTTGTAATCGAACTACAAAAGCCTAAGCTTGGATTCTTATGCTATAGATTTACACGAATCAATTTACTCTACCACAACTTATAATACCAACCTATTAACAAGAGCAGTATTCACTGACAGCATTATTAATGTTGGAATGTTGCTTGCGATTGACAGGTAACTTGCAAAGGATGCCTGGAGTTCAGTTTTTTCACAAGGATCTAAAACCTTTTCACTTACGTTACGAAACTTGTATATCCAGTACTGTAATAAGAAAATAGCCACATAAGTAGATTAATTTCAAGAAAATAATACCTTATGAAACAGCAGAAGTATTCATTCTTGTCTAATATTTACTATTACAAGAAGCAAGATAAAAAAATAATAATTCTGATTTACAGAAAAATATTGATATAGTGCTGAAAGCTGCTAGTATTTGTGAATTTGTTTTAAGAAAACATTATTTACTAAACAAATTACATTTTTATTATATGTTTACAATAATATCAAAGCAGCTTTGAAAAATATTTCTAAATATTAATACAATGGAAAGAAAATTTTAAAATTATTGTTTGCATCTATTATATCTTTATTAAACATTTCATAAAACATTTGTTCTAAGCAGTTTTATGGTTTAAAATTTGTTAAATATACTTTTAATTAAAAGCACATAAATTATGCAATATCAATATAATTTACAAGTATAGAAACAGTGATAGACCTTCCAAAAAGGCCTAGAGAAATGTGGCATCAGATTTATTACCATAATATCTCACCTAAGCCTACTTTACATTTGCTAATGTATCGTCACATTCCTGTGGCTTAACCATGGGAGTGGAATTCACTTTGCTTGGTGCCTAGGCAACAGGATTTGTTTGAGTGATGAGTTTTACCATCACAATTTAAAAACACCTGTTGGACAAGTGTTTTTTTCTACATCATTCATTCTATTGCAAGGAAAACAATCCAGGTAGATTTCAAAGAAAGTTCCTGAAAATTCTAAGCTATAGAAGTCTAACACACACAGACATTTAAAGATTCATACCTCTAAACATCAACCAAAAGTATATACATATTCATAAATCCTGAGTCACATACAGAGTAACAGACATATTTAAATTATTGTAATGATATTATTTGACTACAGTAACATATGAATTACAAAAAGCTTTATGCTATTAAATTTACATATCAAACACCATTTTAATTCAAGTTCAAAAACCATAAAATATATGAATAAACATACATGAAGAGCTCAGATACAAAATGTAGCATATACCACTAACAACAAAATTCAGCTGCCAGTGGCATCATATTGATAGATGTGCAGCATTTTGCTGAAAAAAAGGACTATGGATATAAGGCATTTTGTCCAAAAACAATACATGTTTTCTGTAAAATTTTAAAAGGGCAAGTACAATTTTCAAGTATTATTAATCTTAATACATTAAGTTGTTTTCAAATATTTGTTCAATGCACTAGGCCTCTTTATTTTTGCTCTTTTTGATTTACATCAACGACATAGATGAAGGGATAGTCATTATATTACTTAAATTTGAAGATGATATTAAGGTATTAGGTGTTGCTAGTTGTGAAGAGGATGCTGCTGATTTATAAAAGGATTTAGACCATTTAGTAAGTTGGGCAAATAAATGGCAGATGGGTTTTGATTATAATAAATGCAAGATAATGCAAGTTTAAAGAGGTTATACCTTCATTGTACAGGTCACTGGTTAGGCCACATTTGGAGTATTGTGTTCAGTTTTGGGTTCCTTACCTTAGGAAGGACATTGAAATGTTGGAAAGGGTTTAGAGAAGGGTTACTAGAATGGTGCCTGGGATAGAGGGGTTGTCATATGATGAGAGGCTGAAATCTCTCAAATTGCTTTTCTCTTGAAAAAAGAAGAGTTAAGGGGGATCTGATTGAGGTGTTTAAGATTGTAAAGGGAATTGACAGTGTTGATGTATCATCTTTTTTATATTTAACAATGAGAATAGTAAGACTAGGGGACACAAATATAAACTATAGTAGTCATTTTCAGCTAAGACAGTTTTATTTTTCTAACAGGATGGTTGGCCTTCAGATGTTGTAGAGGTCGTACATTTAAGTGAGTTTAAGAAAAAGCTTGATAAGTATATGAATGAAAAAGGCTGGGTTTAAAAAATTTTTGTATTTTATTTTTTTAAATCATTTTAATTTAGTTTAGAGGATGGAACAGCCGAGATGGACCAACAGGTCCCATATTGTCCCAAAATACTGTTATGTCATGTAGTGGAAGATTCTTTCAAATTGCACAACTTGATCAGAACTTAACTGATCAAACCAAACTGCTTATTTTTCACAAGAAACATCCATTTAAAAATGTTTTTAAAATATGCAGGAATTTAGATGAGTATAAAAATATTTAAATGTTACTGTAGAACAAAAGCATATGCATTATCCTTTTTAACATTTTATGAGTGAAGCTTTTATCCTACAAATCTAGTTTTAAAACCACATATTAAAGTACACATACTCACATCATTTGCAGTAATAAAGAAGTTCCATGGAAATAATGTTGTAAATCCTAGTAAAGTGAATGTAAGTAAAACTATTTTACACCTGCAAACAAACAAAATTCAGTTTTACAATATAAACACAAAAATGTTTATTTGTGAGATAGACTGGTAATATTTTATCCTAATAGAAAGAAAACAATTGTACTAATCATCTCTGGTCAACATCAAAATCAACAATGAATGTTTAATCCAATGATCATTGGATCATTGTTACTGTTTGAGTATCCTCACTGTTAATCATATTTTTGGCCACAACCACAATCATTTTTCAACAAATTGACAATCAAAATAACTTAATTTCTAAATTCTCCTGTTTATGCATTTAATATTTTGACATGCTCTCTTTTAATTATTGTATGTAGCTGTAAAAATATAAAAATATCTGAAAGTATTAAAACTTTTTACTTGCTGAAATAAAACAATAATCACATAAAGTAGTAAAGTATTCAAAAGTTATTAATGAATATATATATATATATATCTTTCTTATTATTCCAATATAAAAGTATAATGTCTGAGAATTATACTTTCTTTTTGAAAGTTCTATATTTATTAATTTTATTTTCTTGCAAAAAAATTAAAAGTGATATATTTTTATGAACTTCTTACCACTTCAACCAGAAGATCTAGTATGGCAAGGGCATACTCAACTTGATGTGAATCTAATAATCATCTATATGGTTTACTTATGTAAATATGTGTTCATTACATAAATAATGCAATAACTAATCCTGCTTCTGTAAAACCAAAAGACTGAAGTTTGCTTTGTTGCTACATGCCCTTCATAATGAACACAGTATTTAAAACTTTTAAACAACTGGCATAGCTAGTCATGTAACATTTAGAAAAAAAAATTCAAAAGTTCTTACTGTACCACAAACATTTTGCTAAACCACTTTTCTAACCATCATAATAGCCCACAAAAGGACAAACTTTGAAATTTTAAAATATTTTATCACTTTCATGAATAGTAGTCTAAATGATCACTTATGTCTAATCATTAGTTAGTTACTAATTTTTGTTGATGTATTACCCTTGATTTTAGAATGGTTTATTACCTAACAAGTAATAGGTTGTAATTTCCTCCTCTCACAAATTGTTTTAATACCTCTTATTTAATGGTTTGTTTTGTTTTTTGAATTTCGTGCAAAGCTACACGAGGGCTATCTGCGCTAGCCGGCCCTAATTTAGCAGTGTAAGAATAGAGGGAAGGCAGCTAGTCATCACCACCCACGGCCAACTCTTGGGCTACTCTTTTACCAACGAATAGTGGGATTGACCGTCACATTATAATGCCCCCATGGCTGAAAGGGCGAGCATGTTTGGTGGAATGGGGATTCGAACCCGTGACCCTCAGATTGCGAGTTGAGCGCCTTAACCACCTGGCCATGCCGGGCCAATTTTTAGTTAATCAATAACTAGTATCTGTTAGCAAAAATTAATAAATATTAAGAACTTCTGTGTGAAAGTAAAGAAGAATGTATAACTATAATAGTTATTAATACGTCAAACCACAGTACACCTGATGAGCACAGTCCTGAAAATCTCATTAAACATTCTAAAGCCTAAACTGTACAAGTGTGTGTGTGGTTGGTTCCTCTTGTTTCACATTAGTATTAGGATATTTATTCATGCTGTAAGCTCTAGATAGAAAAATTATTATAATAACAAAACAGAGAACATATACAATAGCACTAACACATATTGAGGGTATATTATCTTTGACTATGAGCTGCGAATGCAAAAAATTACGGATTTCAATTTTAAGTAACATGTTTTACGTTTAATGTAACTTGCAAATTACATGCTAATATCCCCTGTTGACGTTTTGTAAATTGTTGTTCTGGTGAAGAGTGATTTTACTTTTAAAATACCAAAAGACCGCTTTCTTAAATGATAAGCATTGGATGGTCATTGTTTCGGTTTCAGAGCCACAAAGCACCCAGTCGATGTTATATATCATTGCACTAAGTTACACCTACACTATAGGCCCACACCTATCTAATTTATAACATATTTAACTTTTATCCGACAACTTTTAGTCCCGATTAAAGTTTCTACTTAACATCTCACATTTCTTTGACATAAATATGTTCCGAACAGTAAAAGTACTGTAGTAATACTAAATATTATCGTTTACACTGTTTTACCTAATTATACTTTATAGTAACTGTCATACGCCTAATATTAACTTCGTTACAACCACAGCGATGCAGCTAACGTAGTAGCGATGATAACAGTTAAAGTATTAGCAATATAAATACCTGTCTTTTGGTTCAGCTATATCCTCTGTATTCAATAAGGGAACATCTTGTGATGCAGGCTCAACATCTGTATCTTCCTCCATTCTACTACTGCTAGTAGCGCTGGTTGAGCAAAAATAGTTTTCACAGTAATTGTTGTCAAACTCGTAAAACTCCACATCAAGTTCACTCTGGGTGACTGAAGTAGAAAAAGTTGAGTATTCATACTGCATCATTTTTCTTAGCTCCACCTATTGAAAACCCACATATCCAATCACAATGCAGCCTGCTCGACTGCAATTGAGACCAAATACAACATATTAACGAATAGTAACAATATTAATCATATATTTAAATTTAGATACAAATTTTTATATACTTATCTCATTATGTTTATGCTAATTCAATTATAGTTCTACCAAGGAAACTTATCTTTGTTTTAAAACAACTATTGGCATATTCATCCCAAATCATAAAATTAAAATAGTAATACAGTTGTATTATTTTTTTTTCGTTACTTATATTCTTTTTGCGTCATTTCCGGCTGACGCTTACGAAAGTATTTAACAAATCACGTTACAAATTTACAGCATACTCTGATACACACAATTTTCCAAAGTTAGTATGGTAAATTACCTAAAGTGTTCCGAATACCATTAGAAATACTAGATCTCTTGGCATACTAAACTGTGTTTATACATGTTAAATGACGAAAAAATCCATTCTAAAAAGTCATCCGTCTCGAAATACTTTCTACCTTGTGCAAATCAACCGAGCAATCGTAACAGTAATGACACCACCTGATGCTTCAACTTACAGTAGCTGTCACATGTATTAGCAGAGTAATTTTAATTGAACGCCATCTAGTATTTTTATCACAACTTGAATAATAAATCTGATGATTAAAAATATTCTTATCTTAAATTACATATTAGAACTATATTTAGTATTAATATAGAAGGAACTAAGAACTACTAATTATTATTTAAGCGAAACAGGTGAATGGCCCAGTTAAAAATTCTCAGAGCGTTGATTCGAATTACTGCAAAGTAGAGGCACGAAGCAAAGACACTGAAAAAGTTTGTCTGTTAACATTTGTTCGTTGTTAAGCACAAAGCTACGCATCGAGCTAGTGCTGTGACCACTACAGGTATGAAAACTCAATTTTTAGCGTTATAAGCCCACTGACTTACTGCTGAGCCACTGGATGTGTGTGTGTGTGTGTTTCCATCGGAAGCCTAAGAGAGTTTTGCGATATGATGTGGCAAGTAGGGGAGTAGTTTTTGTTGTTTTCAGGTAACTCAGGACAAATAAGTCAATCCTTTAGCATTCTGGAGTACATTTTGTTTTAACTTCTCCTTTATTTCCAAACTAAAGACAAAAAGATCATACTACTAGAAAAGATGAATATAGATTGTGATAAGCAAAGCTCCTTACATGTAGAAGCCCCCCAGTGGATTTACAACATTAGGATCCGGGTTTCGATACCCCTTGGTAGGCAAAGCACAGGTAGCTAATTGTGTAGCTTTGTGCTTAATTACAAATAAACAATACAAGTAAAAGACAATGGCCACATATACTACTAGCATTCTGCAAGAAAATTGGCTATTGGTAAAAATTTGTTTTGTAGTATGCAGACATGTTGCAGTAGTCTCAGGTAAAATGATTTCTGAACAAGTATCAGGTAAGTCCACTTAATAAAGAGATGATAGAGCAGGAAATTTGTGAAATAATCTGAATTTAACTAGACAACTAGGTTTTAACCCAAGAACTAAACAAACTGGACATGTGATGTTAAAATGAAACACAATCGTTATTATATACCTTATAGCACAAAACAAAGTGTGAGTGTGTAATTGTATGGACGCTTGATAGTCACTTTCCTAATGGATCAGTGAATCAAACAACAATTATAGTCTTACAAGATGTATTTTTGTTTATTGCTTCACTTCTTGAACCAAGTAACTAGAGCTAGTTGCTCAGAGCTTCCAAAGTGCTAAACATGGCATTCCCCACCAGTGAAATATCCTACTGCATGGAGAACCTCTTGACATGGAGCTCTGAGACCACTAGTTGCAGTACAGTCAGAGAACCATGGTTTGGCGGTTTATAGTAATGGTACAACACATCTTATTGCACTTGTAACTGACAATACAAGTGCCAAAGGTTGCATGCATGTGCACTTCCTGTAACAGTGCTGGTTGACTTTACCTTACTGTACAGCAAAAAAGTAACTCTTCTGAGTTAAGGTCTTTCAGTTGCTCTTCCCAGAGCACCTGAAGTGATAATCTTGGCGTAAGTTCGCCAGTAAAATATTCTACTTCATGGCTTGTTTGTGTTATGACGGAAATGGCTATGGTTTCAACTCCCACATGGTGTTCAGTATTAAAACATACCATGAAATGATAATGTCTCCCTATACAACAAGATAGCTCATCCATGTTTTCATTTCGGCGTCCAGCCAATGCACCATGACAAAGCCTTATTTTATCCAGTGTGCTACAATCCTTTCCAGGTTTTTGAAATTCATTATCCATTTCAGCACAGCGTGATCTACCCAGATGGTAAACCTCCCACCATACAAATAGTGGTGATAGTGTTTTATGAAGACTACAACTGCAAACAAATTTTTCTTGATTGTACAGTATTTGCATTCAAAAGTCATAAGAGTACAACTTGTGTATACATTTGTATGTTCTATTCCATCCTGCAACTGTGATAACATGCTCCAATTCTATTTTAATTGGCATTAGCGTATAACAAGAACTGACAGTCTTGCTATAGATAGGTCAGCATTGAAAAATTCACTAAAACAAGCTTTAGGAGTCATAATGTTTGGTCACATTCCTTGTTCCACCCAAAGTGCATCTCAACTTTCGTGAGAGCTGACAATAGTAGTGCTGCTATCTTAAATAATTTGGCCACAAATTGTCAGTGACACAACATAAATCCAAGTAAAATGTAAACTTCTCGAATGGTCACAGGGTGAGGTCAATCTCTCACCATGGCTATCTTAGCTGGTTCTATAAAGACCCTATCTCTCCCTACTACGTTACTGGGGAATTCCATTTCTATGCACATTAGCAAGCACTTTCCTGCTTTAATTCTCCACTGGAGTAATATTCTCAGGTTCTCAACAATAGACCTCGAACATACGACCAAACACCAAGATGTCGTTGACGCTTAAGAAACATCTTATCTATTGCAGTCCTTTCAATGCAAGCTCCATTAATCTCTCGAAAGTGGCGGGCACATTACACAGGCCTGCTCTCATCGTCCAGCTCCTCTTCCTATTATGGTGAGATGCCAGATACAAACTTTGGAGCCAGTAGAAACCTTATATCATGTCCAGACATTCTTCTTTTGTTGGTAAAGGGACTACTTCAATGCAAGTTACCACATTCCTCCATTTAAAGTCAATACAGAACCTTGGCATACCTTTCACCTTCCTGAAAATCACCACTGGAGACGACCAATATCTTTCCAAAGGTTGTATTATTCCATCCTTCAGCATCTGCTGTATTTCATTACTGTCCCTAGTGCTCTATGGAATCTGATGTGCAGTTTCTTTATCAGATGTAAGTCACACATATCTCTCTTATACAAAGTCACCAGTGTTGAACCAAATCAGCTACTTGGTTCCACAAATAAGTTGGCATATTGTTATAGAGCGACTGTTGAAATTAAGTGTATCGTAAAGTTGTATTCGGAAAGAATAAACCAGTTTATTTAAGAAAGCACTTGTGTCGCTAAAGTTTTGTCGGAACGAATTTACGGAAAATTAACTAACGAACGGAGACGTAACAATATTTTATCCCAGCTGTTGTCGTTTTTAATACAAAGCCGCACATTAGATTCTGTCCACCTCCGGGAGTCCCCCGGTGGGAAAGCGATAAGTCTGGGGACTTAGAACGCTAAAATTCGGAGTTCCATTCCCCGCGGCGGGCACAGCATATAGTCCAATGTGATTTTACTTTACAACAAATGTGGAATCAAACCATGGATTTTAATGTTCTGTTAACTTACTACTGACCCATTAGAGGGCTTTACTTCAGCTGTTTATTGAAATCAAAGTATACTTTTGTATGTAAAATAAAAGTAACCCATTTTGCAAGTACTTTTTTATGCGTGAAATAAATGTATAATTTCCATACGCAAATATATTGTTACGTCTCCGTTTGTTAATTAACTTTCCGTAACTTCGTTCCGACGAAACTTTAGCGACACAAGTCCTTACTTAATAAAACTGGTTTATTCTTTCCGAATATAACTTAACGATACACTTAATTTC